AAAGAGAAGAAAAAGAACAAGAAGACAGAATTAAGAGGGTGGATGCTTGGTGATGTGGGAGGAGGAGTGAAGAAGGAAACCCCGGGACCCACTGGGGATTGTGAGCTGCGTCAGGCTGACTCCACCCTCCCAGAGCCTGGCTGGGTGAGTCTGGGCTGAGGGGGATCGCCCATCTCATCATGCTTCCTCCACTCTCCTCTTTCAGTTTTGTGGCCCCATGTCCTGCCTGAGGGTATTGGGACCAGGAGTCCCAATCTCATTCCAGTTTGGAGGGCTTTCATTAGAGATTGTGCAAATTCAGCTCTCTGCTTCCAACGCTGCTTAGATTAGTGGCTGGGGGACACATCTGGACTGAGTTTTCAAGAGTGCCTCCTTCCAGGGGGCCAACTGGACAAACCTCATGACTGAATGCTGAGGTAAGAACTCTCACTGGTATCTTTAGAGACCACCACCCTCTGCTGCAGCTGCGGCTTTCACTTCTATTAAAAGTTTGTCAGACCACCCATGTCTCCCTGACCATAGCCGCTAATGAGTTCTTATCCCCAGTTGATCAAAACGAGGACTGAGTCTCAGCATTTGGGGTAGGAGCCAGATGTGGACCTTAGTTCATGTGATCTAGCTTGCCACCAACTGCTGGAGAGGTTCCAGAATGAGATCGTCACCTCCCCAGCCAGCACTGTCCGGCTCCCCTCTTTCCAGGTCAGCATCCTGTATTCTGCCCTCCAGATGTCAGGTGTGAGTGGGTGACAGGGAGAAAATATTCCATCCACATGACCTGTCAACAAGAGGCATTCACACCCCCCACCAAGACTGCATCAAAATTCCTTCGTCCAATCTGAAGAAGCCCCATCTCTGCTTCCACCCAAGCAGGTGAGCGACGTGGCCCTTCCCGTCGGTGGTCCTCAGTGACCCTTCCTCCCATCTGTCCTGCTTGGAGTGCCGGACCAGATGTTGATGGGTACATGATTCTGAAAGGCCTAAATGTAACCAGCATGTGCTTTGCAGCACTTAAACTTAGCCGCCTTAGTTTTCCTCCGCAAATGGGTGAGTTTGCGATCCCCTCCTTCTGCAGAAGGCTATTTTCGGCCAGTTCTTCCAGGCGGGTGATGGGCGCATTCACCGTACTGGAAACTGTGAGGAGATCAAACCTTTCTTTGTATTCCTGCCCAAACACAAATTCTCTGGAAGAATATAGTAGAACAACCAGTCACCAAAGATAACAGAGCTCAATCTGAAAGACTCCAGTGCAAGCAGGGCTTTGCCAACACTCGTTCTGTTTCCATAAGTGAGACCCAGCTGTCCTGGTATGGTTTGCTTTTTGTTTGTTTGGTTTCTCTCTCCCTTTGTCTCTCCCTCTCTCTTTTTTTTTCTTTCCAAACTATGTCCTTTCAGTGCACTTAGGGATTTCCTGTGCCAAAGCATCTTCTAGAAAAACTTATGTTATAATGAGAGAAGAAAAAACTACAGAACAAAAAACAAGAAACAAAGGCAAAAACAATCCTGGTCCGGGTATCTCCTGCGAGGGTTTCCCGGAGTGAGCCCACCGGACGTGTTACACATGCTCTGGAATATTCATCTTCTCTGTCTGTGGTATGTGTCTTTGTGTTTGGCATTACCGAGCCTTGGAGGTTATCGTGAATGCCAGTTGTGTGAAGTAAGCGCAACTGACAGGATTTAAAGGCTCAGACTAACCTTTCTAATCCATCTAGTCCCTGTTCTGTGCCTTAGGCCATGCCTCTTCTGCAAGAATATACTACATCCTTGCTTCTGTGAGGGGAGCTGCAGTAATTTCCTGAATGTCAGTCAAAGCCTCTCTCCTTGAGGAGCCAGAGAAATTCAGATTTCTCCTTCTGACTAGATGGGAAAGGAGCTATAAAGAATTTTGCAAATGAGATGAGTGTAGGTATTTTTGCCACACGTGCTTAACTTTTTCACTTCGTTAGTAGTTCAGAATGTAATTTATATAGGGGCACCTGGGTGGCTCAGTCGGTTAAGCATCATGTGCCTTTGGCTCAGGTCATGATCCCGGGGTCCCGGGATCGAGCCCCGCATCAGGCTCCCTGCTCAGCGGGGAGCCTGCTTTCCCCTCTGCCTGCCACTTCCCCTGCTTGTGCTCTCTCTCTCTGACAAATAAATGAATAAAAATCTTAAATATATATATATATATAATTTATAATCCCTTTCCTAATCAATGAAAGTAATTCTGAATTTGAAAAATCCATCTAGAGATAAATTAATTCACCAATAATTTATTAGAATCAATTCATCATTATGGAGTGAAAGCTATGTGTTGGGCATTATTCTGCGTGCTGGGGGTATAGGATAGGCCAAGTCCCTGCCCTCCTGAATCTTCTATCCTGTGGGTGGAGAAACAGAAAATAATCACATAGATCAATATGTACAATGTCGAGAGGTGGTAAGTACTAGGAAGAATAAAGCAAAGAAAGGAGATAGGGAATGAGGGTGATGGGGAGTGAGGTACTGTTTTACCGAGGATGGCCAGACAAGGCCTCTCAGGTAAGAGGATATCTGAGCAGCGGTTTGAGCAGAGGACATGAATGAGTGAGCCATGCTGGTATCTTGAGGAAGAGTGACCCAGGCAGAGAAAATAGCAGCTAGTTGTAGACACGAAGGTGCTCAGGGTATTCACAGAAACTTTTATGTTACAGTGAAGATTGGATTTCTTTTCAATGAGATACAAAGTCCCTGGAGAGGTCTGCATAAGAGAGTGACATAATTTCACTGATGCCTTTAAAAGATCATTTCGATTGGTATTATTAAAAACACTATGAGGGGGTGGACGAGAAAGCAGTTAGACCAGTTAGGAGGCGATTCTAGGAAGACTGTGGCATAAACAAGCATGATGGTGATGAGGGTAGTACTGAGTGGTGATTGGATTCTGAAACTATTTGGAAGATAGAGCCAGTAGAGGTTGCTGATGATTGCTGATGTGAGGTATAAGGAGAACAAGAGGAGTCAGGAATTGTCTGGGGTTGTAGCCTCAACAACCAGCAGTTGCTGTTTGCTGAGATGGTAGGATTGGGATAAGAGCAGGTTTGGTGGTTGGTAGAGAGGATCAAGAGATCAGTTTGGGGCATGTTCAGTTAGAGCTGCCCATTGATATCCAAGTGGAGATAGGCAGTTGGAAATAAAAGTCTGGAGTTCAAAGGTGAGGTTGAGGCTAAAGAAAAAAAACCTGAGTGTAATGAGTAGTATAGGTAGTTTTAAAGTCATGGGATTCCATGAGATCATCTGTGGGATGAGTGGAGAGAGGAAAGGAGAGATCTGGGGACTGAGTTCTGGATGTCCCCAAAGCTTACCAGTTGGGAAGGAGATGGAGAGGGAGTGGTTAGTGAAGTAGAAGAAGCCATGAGAGGGAGTGCTATCACAGAGGCAAGGGAAGAGATTGTTCCAGCAGGAGGGACATCGACTTTGCTAACTGCTATTGGCTTGAGTAAGATTAAATGTTGAGAAATGGCTATTGGATTTGGCCATCGGATTTGGAGGTCATTGGTGACCTTGATGAGAACATTTTTAGAGGAACATTAAGAACAAAACTCAATAGGAGTGGGTTCCAGGGAGAACAGAGTAGAGCAAGTAGTGGTGTTTTATGTGGACAACTTTCCTGAGGAACTTTGCTGTGAAGGAGGGCATGGAAGGAGCTCTGGGGTCAAGGGAGGGGATTTTTATTTCTTAAGATAGGAGCTATCAAGGAATATTTTTATGCTGATGGGAGTTATCAAGAGGAGAAAGAGAACAGATAACGCTGTGGTAAGTGAGGGGACAATTGCTGGCAGAAGGGTTGAGATCTCCTGCACAAATGGAGTGTTGGGTAAAGCCAAATGTACTGATAGAAATATGGGTAGATGGCTTGGTAGATTTGGTGGTGGGAGGCTTTAGAAGATCATGGGGTTAGAGTAAGGAGAGAAAGGAGGAGGGGGAGGCTTGAGGAGAAAGGAGTATAAGGGAAGAAGTAGAGTGAATTGATCACACCAGGGTTTCTCAGGCTTCCCTGTGCACCAGAACCACCAGGGGCCTTGTTATAACACTCGTTGCTGGGCCTCACCCGGAAAGTTTCCGATTCATTTAGATCTGGGGAGACATCCAAGAATTTGCAATTGTGACAGATTCCCAGGTGCTGCTGCTGCTGCTGGTCCCGAGACTGGACTTTGGGAACCACTGGGCTTGGAGCTGGGTTGGGACGGCAGAGCATCCCTGAAGGCCTCCCTGTGCCTGGCAGTCATGTGTGTAGAGGGAATCCAATCAGCGTGGTCTTGTGTTTTTCTGCAGCCCCGTTTGGTGGCTCAGGAGCTGGCAACAGTAGGCACAAAGTTGGACTTCACCAGAAAAAAATGCACAACTGATACGACTGGTGTATTTGGGAAGCTCCACTTCTCTTGATGTCCTTGTAGTCTGAAAATGCTTTTTCTACATCTTCCATTTGAAATAGAAGGGAGTGGAGAATCTGAGATGGAGAAAAAAGAGAAACCAAAGTTTGTGGTGAAGTTTACTGTTGTAGGACTTAGAAATAAAATGGAGTAGTGGCGCCTCTGGTCTCCTATTGAAAGGGGAAACATAAGCCCCCTTTTCCTAAAATATCTGCTAACCATGCTGTTTCTGTGATCTACAAAATTGTGAAATATACTTTGAAAAATAAAATCTGGTTCTTCTGGATTTTCTAAGATTACTTCCATCACACGCAGAATTTGGAGACTATTATATTATTCTTTGCAAATGTTCATGTCCCCCAGCAAAAAATAAGCGGTTAAGTGCAGAGCCTTACACGCAGGAAGTGAGTTCTGGAAGTGACAACTCAGCTATTTGAGTGAGGGCCACAGCTCCATCAGAACAGAAAAAAAAAAAGAACTGACTTCCATAATAAAGTACCGTATTAATTCACATCTCATATGTTAAGCAGCAATTTAAATGTAGTGGATTTGCATATTAAGCATTAGTTTTTGAGTTACTGATAGTTTTCTTTTTATTAAAAAACAAAACAGATTTTGTTGGAGCCGGGCGTGATCCAGGATGTGCTAGCTGCTGGCAGTCACCTACAGCTGTTGGAGCTTCTCAATTTATGTTCCCACTATCTCATCCAGGTATGTGAGCTTGCGTCCTGCTACTGAGCCCTTCCTATCCCTTCGCCCTGCAGTCATTAGCTGTACCTGCTGCTCCCCGACCTGTGCCTAGACAGGAATAATGGAAGTAGGGGAGATGTGGCTTGCGATGGTAGAATCTCTCCAGGACATGGGCCGAGAGGCTCCCAAGGGGGCAGCTGCAGCTCTCCTGTCCTGTCCCAGGACCCCCAACCCAACCTCCCTGCCCACCCCAGGTCCTCGCTGCCCTGGGGCAGCAGAGTAACTCAGTGACCACGCTCCTGGTTTATTGCTGGGGCCCCGGAAGTTGACACTGGGAAGGATCTTCATTTGAAGCAATGTTGTCTGGCTGCAGGAATAACAGTCCCAAATGCACAAAAAAGTTGGATAGTCACTGAAGATTTCAGCAACAGTAGCTAATATATCACAGTCATATATAATGAAGTACCACATGAACTTTTCATGCAAAAAGTGCTGGAAAAGGGGTAAGTGATCTGTGCATTCTTCCCCTGGTTTGCTGGGATGATCAGGAAGGGCTCTGGGAGGGGGAGGAAGAGAAAACGCCCATCCTCTGAGCACCAATGTTTCACGGTCAGTCCTCCTAACATCTTTGCACATTTTTATAGGTGAAAAGTCAGAGATTTAAAAGGTACCCAGCTTGCCTGAGGTGATAGAGCTGGTGAGTGATAGGCCTCTCTGATTCCGAAGACCATTTTTTCTTCTTGGATAAAAACTTTCTCATTCATTAGGAAGACACAGGACGTCTTAGGCAGACAGTATGGCTGTGAGGCTTTTATTTTAAGGAGTTAAGTACTGATTCCCTGTATTGGGAGCCTCTTATTTCCTCCACTGGCATGACTTTTTACTTGTATTTGTTACAACATTATAACAACAGTGAAAATACATTTTTAACAATGACAAATCCATACAATTTAATTTTACTATCCTTGTGCATATGACATATTAGTAAGTATAAAAATCCTATTTGTTTTCCTGCCCCATTATTTTATTTTCTTCCTTGTCATTTTCTCTAATTCTAAATAGAGCCATATTATTGACTTCTGTCACTCAGTAGGTCGTTTCTCAAGCTCTTTCTCATGTATCATGTTATTTCGTCTTCCTGGCAACCTTGGAAAATAAGAACCAATGCTTCCCTGCGAGATAGTATGAGGAGCGTCAGTCACATTCACCTGAGGAGCAGTTCAAACACAGTATATGAAAGTTGTATCATTATCTCTGCACATTTAATCTAATAGTAAATGTTTAACTATTATCATCTGATTTTCCTTTGTTTTCCCCTCAATATTGTTGGGTGGTATGGGAGAGCTGTTTTTAATCCCTTTCTGCAAGTAGCAAATGGAAATAACAAAGAAAGGTTACAAGACTTCAGAGGTGTGTGTTTGACTTGTGAAATTGAAATTACTTTTATTTGACATTTTTACATCAAATATTGCAACTTGAGCCTTCAGCATCATCACCTAATTCACTTTTTCCATGGCAGGTAATATTCAATGATGTATGTTGCCAAACGTTTGGTTATAGTGCTCGTTATCGTGATTCATGTTAAAATGGTGTGTATTTACAGGTGTGTGTGTGTGTGTGTGTGTGTTTACCTACACCTATAATTTCTATAAACAAGAATTGCAGATGAACATCAGAAGTTCATGGGTATTTTCCCCTATCCCATCAGATGAATTTGTTGAGATACCAAGTGACTTGTGTACTTTGGAACTTAATTTTTGCAGTTCATTATTTTGTTGAAGGAAAAATGTAGCCTGCATACAGATATATTTTGTGGACAGTTTGCTTATTATTAGCCTACTTGATCAGTGGTTGAAATTCTCACTTTCTTTTCTCCAGTGTTTTCATTTTGTTCTTTCATGGAACTTTATTTTTCCTTTTTATCGACAATGTTGCAAGATGTCCAAATTGTGGAAGAAAACTTTGACTATAAGAGAATCAAGCCGTGTGTATGTAGAAATCTTCATTATGTCTGTCTCTTGAAAATACATTCCCTTCCTCTCTTTTTTAGGATTGTAAAATTTCCAAACTGGGTTGGTCTGCTTTTATATTTTGATATAGTCTTGTAACTATATCTGTTTACAGTGTTTTGGTATTATTGCTGACCTGATTCTTAATTTCATATGGGACCATTTTATTGGTTATGTAAAAATGTGTTTTGTTAAAATGAAGAATCTTTAGTGCTTAAAATATACTTAGAAGTGCCCTATCAGGGCTTCTGGGTGGCTCAGTCGGTTGGGTGTCTGACTCTTGATTTCAGCTCAGGTCATGATCTCAGGGTCCTGGGATTGAGCCCCGAGTCAGGCTCCCTGCTCAGCAGGGGAGCCTGCTTCTCCCTCTGCCTCTGCCCCTGTTTGTGTGTTCTCTCTCTCACTCACTCTACCTCTCAAATAAATAAAATCTTTAAAAAAATTAAAAAGTAAAAAATAAATAAATAAATAAAAAGTTGTGCCCTATCAATCAAGGGTAGCATATTTTCCATTCTTGTTCAGTACTTTGTCCACCTAGGAGTTTGTGAAGGCATTCTCCCCTACTAAGATGTCTGGTCCTGTTTGTTATTCTCAAATTACCACTCTTCCTTTGGTTTTCTTCCAGAGTTGTAAAAGGTAGACCTCTGCTCTGATACCTCCTATTGTCCTCTGGCGCTCAATCATAGCTGAGGAGAACCCCTGGGTTGACACTCTCTGAGTCTCTGGGCCATCCTCTGTTACCTTGGCCTGAAACTCCTCTGCACAGGTGTAAACACTGGTGCCCCCCAGCAAAGGGAAGGGACACCTCGAGGCCACTGTGTGCTCTCCTTTTTCTTGCCTTTCCTTGGGGAGGCTGCTGAGAGCAGGGGCCTCAAACCGCAGGAGCAGTGCCCCTCTGTTAGCAAGGATAGCCACTGAATTAGCCTCCTACACTGTGGAGCCTTCACCTTATTCATTTTTAGTCCCCTGGCCCTCTGGATGGCAGGCCCTTGTGAACACACAGATTCTCAGCACAGGTCGTATCCAATCAGTTACCAAGCTGAGTTGATTCTACCTCCCAAATACCTCTCAGACCTGATCCTTTTCTTTATCGCTAATGCTCTTACCCTTTTGGGGAGCTCTCATTGCTACTGGCTATAGATTGTACTGAGTTTCTCATATCCTCCTGAGGGGTCTGCTTGTTTCTAGCCTTTCTCCATGCCAAACCATAGTCCCTGGAGCCTTTGTTATCTTTCTCAGGGTAGGGAAATAACATTTGTCAAGGGCCTCTCCATACCAAGCGTTTTGGTTGGTGATTCTCATTTTCCCTCTGCTAAGGAACCCCTTAAAGCAGGTGAGTATTCTTTCCTTTTTACAGATGGAGAAACTTAAGTTCAGAACTAGGCTGTTGATCCAGTGGAAATACCAAAGAGCTCCCCTGATGACCATTCTGGAGCATCCTTAGCCTCATCTTTGAGGCCATGCTTGTTCCTCCCCAGCCTCCTCTGCAGGCTTAGTGCCTTTCCTAGCCCACTGTGCTCTGGCCTCTAAGGTGACCTTTCATTCTGGGACTTGCCACATTAGGGGAGAAGGCTAGGTGGCAGGCAGGACCTCTCAGTCCCTTTCAGATTGTACCAAGGAGCAGAAGTTGGGAAAACATCACACACTCACCCCCTCCCCCACCCTCTCCTCTGCTGATGCACCTGTCATGAGATGAGTGGAGCTGGCCACTGGACTTTGTGTCGTATGCCCTGAAAGTGATGCATTAGGAGATACACGCTTTGTACACGCTTTGCTGAAAATGTCTTTTTTTGTAGTTAGCTTTCAAAAAAAAAAAAAAAAAAAAAAAAACTTTTTACATTTCGTACCACTTCTCCCAAATAGCAAATAGTATATCCTATTGTTTAATTAGCAAGTGGTTTTTGCTTGTTTGCCGAGTATCAGCCTTTAGTATGATATGCAATTTAAATATGTTGACAAGAAAGAACGGTCATGTACACTTTCTAAATAAGGCCATGCAAGTGGTGACTGAACTCCTCTGGAAAGAACACGCAGTATCTCTTCCTAGGCAGCAGGTGGCAGTGTGAATCCACCAGAATTAAGTAGTTAATTTAAAGCAAAAAATCAGAAAAAATGAGAAGAAAAATTATTTATTTTGCTATATATTAGTCTTCTGACCTAATCAGTAAAAAAGTCATTATTCACACCACACTGGGCAATATGCACTGTAATTTTTAACAAATAATAGGAAACTGTTAATGTGTTCACAGGAAATACAGTTTTGTCTTGGGCTGCCGTGGTCATTTATCACTGCACTTTGTGAAATCACTCATTTGTTCTAATTTGAATGTAAATGACTCTAAGGTTTTACAAATAAGGTGACAGACTCACATAAATGTAATTGCAGGGTTCATCTCCCTCTTTTTATATATCACTCATTAGGTTATGAATTAAATACATCGTATTAAACCAGGGGCATGTCCAATGATGATATTGTAATGGCAAATTACTCTGTGCTATTAGAGGTGTATTTTTTATTCATGGACATTAATTTGTCATTAAGCGGCATTAGTTTAGCACTTTTATGTGAAAGACGTGACCTGAAAGAGGAGACATACTGCTGTGACGGGAGAGGGAAGGGACATGTGCGCTCTAGGTAGAGTGTTTTATCACCACAAGATAAAGAGGTGGAAAAACAGAGGAGCATTTGTTTTATTATTTTTTTTCATTTGTTTTTCATTTGTTTTATTTCCTGCTTTTATAAGTGTAAAAGATCATTTCACCAGATTGAAGGCGTTGTTCTGCTTACTGTGTGCACCTTTGGATCATCTAGTAAAGCAAAGCCAAAATTCTTACTCTGAATCATTCCAAAGCCGAGACCATACCCGAGTGGAAGAGAGCCAGCATCTTCCCGCCCTAAATCTCCGTCCTCTGTGACTGATGCTTATTAGTCATCCCTTGTCTTCATTTAGTTTTACACTAAATGAGAATTAAGTCATTTTTCTCTCTTCAGTGAAGGTACAAAGGCTTAAA